TAGATGTAGCAAGTATGTGATGGGATAACTAACTGTCAGTATGTGTGTGATGGGTTACCCGACTGTCTTGGTGGCAGTGATACATCACCAAATACATGTAGCAAGTATGTGATGGGATATCTAACTGTCTTGATGGCAGTGATGAATCACCAAGTAGATGCAGTATGTGTGTGATGGGTTACCTGACTGTCTTGATGGCAGTGATGAATCACCAAGTAGATGCAGTATGTGTGTGATGGGTTACCTGACTGTCTTGATAGCAGTGATAAATCACCAAGTAGATACAGTGATTATGTGATAGGTTACCTGACTGTCTTGATGACAGTGATGAATCACCAAGTAGATGCAGTAATTATGTGATGGGTTACATGACTGCCTTGATGGCAGTGATGAATCACCAAGTAGATGCACTAAGTGATTAATACGTTACATGACTGTATTGATGGCAGTGACGAATCACCAACTAGATGTCATGAGTATTTGTTGGGTTACCTGACTGTCTTTGTGTCGTATTCAGTTATGCCTTAAATTGAAATTATGTATGATGTTAAATCCCTTCATTTCAGCTGTGCCACGATTTGAATGTGAGTTTGGAAGGATGATACCTATGCATTTTGTTTGTGATGGTTATCCACAATGTCCCGATGGGTCTGATGAACTGAATTGTGAAGAATTCGTATGTAAGTGCATATTTATTTCATTAGTACGGAGAACACAATTCATCAGTATAATGGCATATATATATATATATGGTGAATGCACATTTATTTATTTCATTATATTTAGTTGAGTGCTCAAATGGAGATATTGTTCAACCGTTATATGTATGCAATGGCCGTGAAGAATGTTCAGATGGTAGTGACGAATCTGGGTGTGGTAAGTTCTTCATATTCAATAATCCAAACGATTGGTAACATTACAGATGTGAAATTGTATTCGTGATATTCGATACATGTTCTTTTTTTGATCCCTTTGAACAGTGCGATATCTGATTAATATCAGCATCTGACATATCGTGTAGTTGCAGTTGATTATGTACTCTGTACAGAAAAAAACACACTTTAATCACAAGATACCTGGGAACGACCACATTACTTTGGATGGGAAATACACATATTCGATTGTCGTTACCTTGTAATCAAATACGTGCGTCTTCGATAGAACGTGTTCGTGCACATGCATAATGAAACTAGATTGACACATGTACATCAAATGATCTAAACGTGAGCTGGCAAAGGCGCGTAGCGGATACGGGCAAAACATTGTCACGTGATCAATACACAGCCGGTCACTATTTTTGACATTCTCAGTGCTATGTGTTTTTTTACAACTTAGTAGTTTATTCCAGAATTCCAGAGCCTTTTCACATATTTGTTTATAATCATGATATCTGTATAAGGTCATATTTTAGCCGGCAAGTGGTTCTTAAATTCATCCATTTTACCAGCAGCGACACATTTATGCATCAAATTTTCATAACTTTACTCAGAAATTGATCGTGTTTGATTTTTGGTGTGATTGAAATGAATTCTATTTTATTTCCCGTCTTCTCGGCGCGAAACCAATATTTGTCTTCGATTTTGACATTTTATGATCGAAACATATCATTATAAAATGGTTGGTGTTATTTGTCACGCCATTTTATTAATGTTAAATTGGGCGATTTTTTATGGATGCTCATTTAGGTCGTAAATGAAATGGCGACGTTTTGAAATGACAATGTACGCTATAAAAAATCATTTATATACAAGAATTGAAGCAGTTTTTAATACTTTTGCGTCGAATAAATTCATTAGTTGTAGTATTGTTGAATTGTTATGAACCTCCAAGAATAAAAATATCACAGGTTCTTTGATCGGCCACATTAACATGAACGAAGCCATTTTGACAAGATTTGTTTAGCGATGTCATTATGTTGGTACGCGCCGCTTTTTTCCCATTAAAACTAAAAGATTAACATAACTCTCAATGTAATTGTTACATGACAGGAACTGGATGTTTATGAGTTGCTAAGCTGCTTTTGATGCGAATCAGGGTTCAAAATCCCCAGATTTCATAGTGCTAATTTAGTTTACTTTGTATTTGCCCGAATTTGAGGTCAATGCGAAATCATACAATGAGGTATCGCGTTGCATGATGCTAAATTTGCGATTTTAATTCTGACAGTATTGTAATCTGTCCGACTTCATGACTCCCTCGGCCCGGGTGTGAACGACAAAAGAATGCTCGTCGTTCCCAGACCGGGGATATAGGGACTTTGATTTTTACAAGCAATTTGCAGCATCATAATGTATTTGTCGTCGGGACCATCTTGTCGACCGGATGCGTATTCTACACGCTGAAAATTAATTCAATGACACACAGTACTTATGTTGTCAACAGAACCTAAAGTTGAGTGTCATAGGTGTACCGATGGTAGTTGTTATGATGAATGGAGCCGATGTAATGGATATAACGACTGTGGTGATTGGTCTGATGAAGACGGTTGTGGTAAATATTTATTGTATATTATATCACGATAGTTAACTCTGTATGATTACTGGTGTAACGTGTGTAGATATTCCAACAATCACACCGGGTATGGTTAGTGTATAAGGATATTCTGTTCAATACTTAAAATATTCTTTTGGTTGTGATCCGCGCATGTGTTCCTGCTTTTCTATAGCTAGACACACTTTGATTAATCGCATTCAAATTTTAGATGTCAATTACACTTATTTGATTGTATACGCAGATTTCGATTCAAGATTTCCGTGCCAAAAATCGAGAATTTCAAAAGCGAAAGTCGGTCGTTATTATACGCTTTTGTTTTAATGTGGATTATACATTTAACATTAATCCAAGTTTAATTCATATTAATCAGTTAATGAAACGCCGCTGACGTAAACATATTCGCTGTGACGTAACTAGTTATGCTAATTTACTTGCGCGTCATTGCCACAACAGAAATTCCTACAGTGATAATGGAAAACATGTACTACAGTTATGACATTTTGTAAAATGAAATGGACATTTTTTAAAGGAAACAAGTGAAACAGGAAGGAAATCAGGAGCCACAACAATATTGTTCAAATTTTATTTCTATCATGCTATAGTATGCAGGTGAATTGGCATGACGATTCATCATCGATGTGAACGAATGGCGATTAAATTAAAGTTATAAATCTATCAAAATCAAGCTTCTCTGGCGCGCGGGACTATGATCTAAGTCGGCTATGTAATTCAAGTGTTGAGCCACTTTATACGAGTTTCGAGGAAAAGAACAACCATTATTATTATCATGTTTATTTGTGATAGTGAGTGAGCTGTGAATATATTGATTTCCCCCAAATCAGCAGATTTGCATACATGGGATAATTAGAAATATACAAATTACTACATTCGGTTGTTACATTCGATATCACACAGTCACTCATTGGAGATATTTCATTTATCAATTTAGTATAATAATAATTCATAACGTGACGTTAGTTATATATTATGATGTTAGCAGAGAGATATACTTCCTGTAAATTCTATAGTTGACATAATTTGTGCTGTCTTGAATTCGTTTATACATAAAAACGACTGTTCAGAAGCATATGCAATATATAAACCACAGCAATAAGCAATGCCATGAAATATATACCACTACCGCGATGGTTTATTGCTATTATATTATATGTTAAATGTAGTTGTAAGATAAGGAATTATATTGGTGTCTTTATTTATTACAATTCTGGCCACGCTGTGTGGCGCGGATCGCGTGGACGGGTTTCACGTTCTCTGCACGTGATAAGCTCGGTTATTAGGCATCCTTTATTGGGGATGCCCGGTGGCCGAGGGGAAGACGTGTAGTGGCGTGAAGCTAGGCGATTTGGTGCCGTACGCGAGCGCCGGTTCGAGTCACGCACGCAGTACGTATTTACTATAATTAGACATAGTCTTTACCTTGCCGTTTATTCGGTGTTATTTGCTTACTATGTTTACATACAATGTGCTTATATCAATAAATGCACAAATGATACGCCATACTCGCATGCATTATTTCGAACTAAGACATCCGAGAGTCGCCATGATTTACCTCTACCTGTAGCTAATTCTTGGCGGACAGTTAACGGCAGGATTGACTGCTACCGTATGAATGCATGTATAGAGCATAAATCTGAACACAATAATCCATGTTTTACTGTATAATCAGAATGACGTAATAAGGCAATTAAAATAAGAGTAGAATATAAATATAACTACATATTTATTTGATTGCACTGTAATTCTTGTGTGGGTCACTGTCGTCATATTTTCAATATACAGATTTAAAAGAATGCAAAAATGGTATCTTAGTACCAGAGAAGGAAATATGCAATGGTTACGACGGCTGTGGTGATAATTCAGATGAAGAGAATTGTTGTAAGTCAAATGTTTGAATAACGATTATCAATACGTGCATTGTTACGCAATTAATTCAGAAAAGAAGTTTACATATGTTATAAAAAATTGTTAACACGGTTACCGAACGTTTCATTCGAATTCAAATGAGACAACTCGATTGGATAATTGTGCGCATGGTGTTTCACGATCTCCCACACAGCCAATCATATTCCGTTTGATACTGGGTCGTATGTTTCAGGAGCGTGTATTAGTTAAGCGGAGACGTCACTGCGAACGTTCTAATTGGGCAAACGACAGTTTACGAATTCATGAATGTTTTATGTTTCTAAACCACAAATTCTGTAAACGGCTTTTCTAAAATCAATGTATGTGCAAGTAATTACACATTTAGTTTGATCTTTAATCTTTTTGAAAGGTCGGCGTTGGAACAACTGGGTACGATTTTTCTTAATGAATAACATAAATGATTAAGAAAATAATATCAAATATTCAAGTGATGCAATTTAAGGTATGGAAGTAATCATAATAACCTGCCGGTGACAGACGTATGTATATTATATGCTAATTATTTGAAACACATTTTGACATTTGTTGAAATAAAAACAACAACCTTATGTAAGAGAAAGAATTTCAGTTTTCATACCAAGCCTGATGATTCACTAAAATAAAACATATATTCACTGTAAATAATTGTATTTGTATCCTAGATTCATCAGAAGACATGATTGCTCATCTCTCAAACATCATGTTTTCATCTGATAAATACAAATTAAACTTACTGTTGTTTAGATATGTTTTGTTAAGCTATAGTAAATATTAGGACGGCGCTATGAGCGTTTGTATTTGTATTGTATTGGTTCGTACTTCTTTCATACGATTATCAAGGCACTCTTAAATTCAACATTAGATTGTTGAACAACGTTACCTAGATTGTTATCGTGAAGAAAAATACAACAAATACAGCCACACATTATATAACAACAAATTAGTATGGCTTATGATAAAAAAATAAAATAAAAACACAAACTGATTTTTACAAGCAATAAAAACAATACTTCGAACAAACAAGAAACTTTTAAAAAACGGTTTTTGTAAAGCAGAGTAAATCACAGTAGCAGAAATAAGCGATATGAACTTAACCAATTCCAGACATATGTCTTAGTTCGATCCAGATTAGCCTGTTTCGAAAAGGGGTGAGGAACCTTTAGAATAAATTAAACAGATTGCTGAAGAAATCAATAATTTCTCGTTAGAACTATATTGATCAGCTTCAATTCATATTCGGGAATGTTTTGGTATGTTATGGTGTAGCATTGTATGTTTTTCGCACTATGCTTTATTGTATCATATCACTGAGACATGGTCGTTTTCTATCATGTTGGCCCCGAAAATAAGCACCCTCAGTGTCCGTCAAATTACACTATATTCTGGTTATTTTCTTTTATGTATAAATATGAATTTGTTTTACTCAAATTTATAAGATTTCTATATGAAAATATCTGTATAAACTGTAAAGACATATCGAGCTATATAGGTCGAGCTAGGACAAGTGGAAATTTCTGATAATGTGTAGTATTCAGGGTGGTTACTTGTGAATGAAAAAGTAGAAAATTATGTTACATTAAAGTCATGCCATCGAAGCTAGTAATGTACGTTTTTTCAAATGCATAATTTCATTTTTAGCCTCCATTTCTGGTGCTTATTTTACTGAATGTCTCAGAGACTTTATGTATCAGTGCGATGATGGAGATTGTATTACTATCAACCAAGTTTGTGATGGATATCCTGACTGTGCCAATGGAGAAGACGAAGTTAATTGTCGTAAGTTTTCCCATTTATTCGTGCAAAGTTGAAATAATAATAAGGCATTATTTACATCTAAATTACAAACGATACAACGACAATAATATACAATGATAATGTGATGTAAAGTAATATAATTGTGACATATATTCTCTTTATACAGCCAATAAATAGTTCCAATTTTACCAGATTCATAAAATATAAATCACAATATTCCAAATCGAAATATGCACGCTAAAAATAACATTCACAAATCAATTGTGAAAAGTCTATAGCAATCTGAATGTGTTTATGAATTATTATGAATTCTTATTGTGGTTTAATGTTGCATAAGTGGTTATTTCCATATCTATTTCTATTAAATGTAGCCTAAAAAACCTCGTTACATCCCCATGTCATGGAGTTGTAATAGTATATAACACAATGCACGTGAACACAAAACATTCAAATGTAAGATTGCTTATTCTTCGATCTCACTTCAGAAATAATATCACGACGACGTAAGTTATGGCGTGGCCTAATTTCAACAAGTTTTCATTATTGGTGATGTTTTATGCCATAGCTATTTACGTGAAGTATTTAACGAAAGGCTGAATTATTCTTATTTTTCATACTCAAGTACTGACATGAATAGAACCGTTAAAACAATACACATAAAAAAGTGATAATAATAACTATTTCAAAGCTGAAAAATATGCCCTATAGTTAACTTTCTTTCTGCCTTTATAACACTCATGAGTTTAAATGCCACTAGAACTACAAAGTGTTATTAAGTCGTGTGATGTTCTGTTGCGTTGTAAAACTTCCCGATTTTCTCACCGCATGAACTAAGTATTCTGACAATGACAGTGTATTATTCCACAAACCTTCAATGCTTCAAATGCTTATTGTCTGCACGATATACTCTTCAATTTCAATATAGTTCAACATTACGTCAAACAAATTCCGTGTTATTTTGTTTCCTCGGCTCGGCGAACATGCTAAAACTGTCAGTAGATTCCACGCGTTTCTATTTTCGTTATCAATTCATTACTGTGTAATCAATACTCGCTAATCACTCAGGGGTTTTAGAAATACATATACGAGTCGTATCATGTATAATTTTATAGCTAATTCAGTCGGTATGGGTGACTTTTATCCTTAGTGTTTCAGTTACACAACATCGTCACGTCAACATTATAATACTAGTCGTGAAGTCCAGGTTCTCTAAACATTATAACAGTACCGGTATGATTTTCGTTATTATTTCTTCTCGTCATTAGCTTTTATCCGGTGTATCATAATTGATTGTCGATTCCGAATACCCGAATTTCATAACTAATCTCTCTACGCAATTATCTGTAATCAGTTCATCATCAGTATATCGTCAAATCTTTAGCCGATTATCCTATGTTAAATGCCACGTCAACGATGTCAATGGATTGAGTTTTAGTGGATAGTGGCAATTTTGTAAGTACTATAGTGATTTTAACATAGGTTCATGTGGCAGAGATAATATATATCTAAAATTTTAGGCTTGTGACATATCCTGAAAAATATATGACTAATGGAGTACTTTTATTATTTCAAAACTTACAATGTGCGAAAACAATTTTTCTTTAACATTGTGCTCTATGGGGTTGTAAAAAAAAATAATGGTATTTTTTCATGGTGTCATGAGACAATAGCTTCACGATTTAACACAATAAACCTATGATCATTTTACGGTCACCTTTCATCCCACTCAACCTTATTTTAGGAATCGCCTGGTCAATCAAGATAGTGGTATTTACTACTAACAAAACACTCGTACCATATAGTGATCTTTGCGGTTCTTGTTCATGCTCCCAATTTAATTCTAAAGGGTCGAAATGTTCCGGTGATTTCGTTACACTTATACCCCTATGAATACACTGAGGGAAGGTTTGAAAGTATAATGCAAATTTGCCCAGGAAAAACAGCTGTTCTACTTAATATTCGTAATACTTAATATATTCTAAAATGAAAACAACTTTAAATGGAATTTATAATAATGTATTTATACATGTTTACAGCTGATTGCCGTCCTCCTATGGAACAGTGTAAAAACAGTAGTCAATGTTTTGGTCCATGGGATCGATGTAATGGCTGGCCTATTTGTGACGAATATACTGATGAACTCAATTGTGGTGAGTATTGGAATAACAACGAACACCAATATAAAGCTTTGAGTAAACACATCACTTGAACAACTCTCGTGATTACAGATGTAATCTCACATTATCAATATCGAATATTATCACAGGGTGATTGTGGTAATTATAGCCATATTTAACATTTATTTAACTGAAATGAAGTGTCGAGCATATGTGAGAAACTGTAGAATATAGAATGGATTAGACATCAATACAAGACTTTTGAAAAATATAATCTAATGATAATGAATCAACATGCGTTAAGTGATTCATAGCTCTTATTTCGGCTTTCTGTAAAATACACACAATAACCCATTAAATCGGTCTTCAACAGACGTATCTAGTCGATACACAGATTAAGTGAAATACTTATTACAATTAGTTTATTTACATCATTATATCATTATGATTTTATATTTTGAACATCATAAATCACACAGCAAGGGACACCCTTGACAATGACAAGCAATGGAGTAAAATATGATTTTTCGATAACCTTTAAAAATGACGTAATTAATTATCAATTATGGACATGTTATGATATTTATTTGTGCAAGTGTGTTATGCATTAACGTATAGCTAGATTTACCTCTCAGAGTATTGCAAGACAGCTTATCTCTTTTTGATATATGAACTTACAATAGAACATATCGTGTGACGCACTTTATACATATTAAAAACATCATGTTATTATAGAATGCACAGATGATCAATTTCAATGTACAAACGGAAGATGTATTGACGAAAGTCATTCAGTGTGTAACCACTATGATGACTGTGGCGATAACAGCGACGAAGAACACTGTGGTAAGATTGATTGATAAATTGTGATTTGGCTCACACCTTCACACACAGAACCATCACATGATATATCATTCCACACTGTTAACACTCCACAGTTCTACAAAATTTAACATATATTTTCAAAAGTTTGTGTTAAGACTAGCAATAACTCATGAATACCTTTTCAGGTACTTTTAAATCGTTCATCCTCAATATATGTATAGTAAGATCAGTTAAGATGTCTTGCATTATATGGATAAATTACATACTTGATATAATCTGAAACACACTGCAGTTAATTATAATACATTAAACCGTGTTGCGCTGCCGTGTGTCATATAGATAATTTGCATAATTTATTTACATATCTGAAGTAATCTGATATACATTTGGGTGCATTATGCTACAATGACTCATGTATAAACGAAATGATCACTATTTGGAATATACCAGTATGCTAATTTTCTCGGAATAATGCTGAATAAAGCTGACTGGCTTGTGACCAAGCTGAATGAGGTTATCGTGACACAACTTAAATTTGTAGTTGTATGTTCACTAATGTGATTTAGAACAATTCATTTACTACTATGTTATATTTGTTTTGGAATAATAAATTGAATTCTTCCAGCAACATAGACATCACCTTGTCACATACCTTTCGGTGAATCACACACTTATTGTTATTGTGTCGGTTTAAACAACTCCCCTAGAGATGGACCAATGATTTTCGTAATTTCACTATAAATTGTTCCGTTATATATTTTGAACAATTTCTCACCTACATAATGAACGAAACTATTTTTGAAATTCTGAGTGACTTCTACTGTAACTGTAGAAGTACAGATATTGTCTTTAATATCCTCTGTCCTGCTTCGTTGATATAAGGGGTACTTGGTGATGCTAGTGTTTGTTAATGTTATGTGGTGGTGGTAAATTTTGGTAGATGACATAAATTGGTGGTGTGGTCGTAAATGTACTTTTGTTCAATAATGTTTATTCACAAATTGAATATATCAATTTAGTCAGTACAATTAGTGAGTAGAATTGAACCATATCGAGCCTTAAACTCTTTCAGGGCATTATAAATTTGATAACAGTCATACTACTGATTAAACATACTTCTTGTGTCACACTACACTTCACTCGAAAACAAAATTAACCTCTGACCCCTTCATCACGCCACACCACTGATATGTTATTCAGTAAACAGGATGTCAATATAAAACACCTAACATAACGCTTGCTGAGATATGACGATATTTTTATTGTGTACTACGTCGGTAACACGTTCTGTCAACAACACAAGTGACGATAAGTCCTACAATTCATTAAATCATGCCTGTTTATATTGCTTTTGGCGGAACAATAACATTCAGATATTATACATAATCATATTGATAGAAATAATATGCGATTACTACGAGTTCACGTGTGGAGATGGCAGTTGTGTCGGCCATTGGCTGCGATGTAATGGCGCTGAAGACTGTAGTGATGGATCTGATGAAAGTACAGAATTATGTGGTGAGTTTGTTTGATATTAACACAATATTGTGCTTTGAATGTTACACAATTTACTCTTGTTATTTTTTTGACGTATCCAATGACTGCTTATTACTAATTATAATTATGTAGCAGCTACATTTATTTCATGACATCTTTGATTGTTGATAAACAGTTTTGTGATAGTATGTAAACAATACTGTTTTGCAATTCCTCAACGAAATATTTCTTCGGTACATGCTCATTGTCATAGAAAATTTATATAGTTTTCATGGGGATGATAAAAGAGACTACGTTATGTAGACCACAACTTTCGATGTTTCTAAGAAGCGTGTCCTTTGATTCGAAGACAATGCCAATCATTGAAAACCTGTTTGAATCAGTATATACATAGTGGTTTCATGTCATGCACTAGGTAAACATGTGGTCTCGTCACATATAAAGAGTAACCCTGTTTTCCCATTTACAACACAAAGTAACTCAAAATAATCCACAATGTTATTGCCGTATACGTTTGAAATTCTACATTGCAAGGATTCGATCTTACGTACAAGTATTACCTAGTCTCCAAATGTCTATTCAGCTGATTTTCAGTGTGACGACGGAAGTTTGGTTGCTTTCGATGCAGAGTGTAATAATTGGATTAATTGTGAAGACCATTCGGATGAGAAGAATTGTGGTAAGATACTATTACTATTTTCACGCACATTATGAATTTCAGTAAAATACTTGGTGTATGGTATTAGTCGTCTGTCGGTTCATCGTCAGTTTTAAGGTACAATTGAGTCACAACATAGTTTGTATTGTGACTTCACATTAAGTATAAAGTCGAAACTATGTATGAATTGCGACACAGACGAAACTATATTATTATTGTTGTTCTTTATGGCAGACTTTAGTTCATATTTTGAAAATGTTAATGTAAAAAATGAAATATTCATAGTAGGATTATTTAATTTTTGGAACTTTTCATAGCACCTATTTGTTGCAAAATGTGAGAAGTGTGGCATAATGTTATTTTTTCTAATCATAAAAAAAATGTGCAGACAACTTATTATGATCGCGTTGCTCATTACTGTCTAACTACAGTTTGGCACATTTTATGAATGTTCTCATTGTTGCCCAATATATAAACACGAACCAGACTTTTGAGATAAATATGTTAAGATTAAATGGGCGGAGGTCGTCGCACAGGGCGTTTTCGAATAAACAATTAGTGTTACACATGTTATACACGTCGCTATGAGTCCCAAATAGAACATTACGCGGTGCGACGACCACCGTCGAATTGGCATTGACTATTTTTCTCATCCAGTAAGTTGCTATAAGGATTCATTGTTGTTTAAACGACCTCATATTAGAGTTATTTTTTTACTGGAATTATCATTATATAACACAATTGTAAGTGAATAATTCAAAGTACATAGCAAGCATAAATATTATATTCTTTGCTGCAGTGTACTATGTATGTGATGATGGACAGGTTGTAGCTCAAGGAAACTTTTCTTGTGATGGATATGCAGATTGTGATGACCAAAGTGATGAACAATATTGTCGTAAGTTTCCGGCCATTCTATGTTTATGAGCTATATCACAGCACTGTCTAGCTCGTTGCTAAGAAACTAAAATTGTGTGCCATTTTGATTATCAATATTAGCATATGTTGTTTTGTTTATTTTTGTTCTTGAATAAATGGTGTTTTGTGACATTTGTAACCGTAGAAATCCCATAGGAATGTTATATACATATATTGTTTGGTAGTTTCATTTTACAATATAAAGAATAGAAGGCATAATAAATTGCAAATACTTTTTTATGGCCTAACATATCTCATTCGTTTTAATTAGCATGTGATGAAACCGCTGATAGATTTCGATGTGATAATGGTGTGTGTAAGTGGTATCATGATCGGTGTGACGGATATGACTCTTGTGGCGACAATTCTGACGAGCAGGATTGTGGTAAGTTATTTTTCAAATGTATCATTGTTATATGAACATGTTAATATTGTTATGTCCTGCGATTTGCGAATTTCGAATTATCACCACGTTAACTAAACATATTGAAAATGAACTGTCATGTGATTTTTTAAACTATCAATGCCATCTAAAAATCTTAAAAATAAGTTTGCTATCTCAAAAATAAAAGCATGCCTATTTACTGGAGGTTTTAATCGACTTACTAACATACAATACATATACTAGTTGAGCCACCTTGCGTTGTAAATACTTGTTGTACATATTTACTACTAATGGCTATTTGAGTATAATCTGAATATTGTTTTTGTATTTTGCAGTAACTCACGTTTGTGACAATGGTGAAAAAATAACGCGACTACCAGATCATCCCTCTCCTGTCTGCGACATGAGTTTTGATTGCTCCGATAAAAGCGACGAGAAGGGCTGTGGTGAGTGAATTGTAGTAATACGCTGATTCCAATTTAGTACTTATCGAAAATAACTTTCAACTTGATTATTGTAATATGCTTGTCATTTCGTTCATCTTGCAGAATGTCGTGCGTTTACCATGCGGTGTTTAGATACAGAATATTGTGTTCCAAAACACTATCTCTGTGACGGCAACGACGACTGTGGAGACGGTTCAGACGAAAAAAATTGTGGTAAGTATGAATAATATAAGCAATAATTAACAGCAAATAAGAGGTATACAAAGATTCGTCTACGAAAATCCTGACGTTAATACGTAATAATTATATCAGTGGAAATTTAGGAGTAAATTATGATATTTCATATTTGGCATCATTTCTTTTTTAGAAATTTTGGTCGTCCAGTATTCTCGCTACGATGAATCATTCGGATTTTATAACACTGATCATGACAACTGCGATACTGTATCGAGCTTCTTCAGATTACTTGTAGGGGTTATTACTCGAATGCAGATTTCAATAAATTTTACTCTTTTTTATCAGTTTGCAGAGAAGACCAGTTCCGTTGTAATAATGGAATGTGTAAACCGTTGTCATGGAAATGCGATGGTTATGAAGACTGTGGGGACAATTCTGATGAACAATCATGTGACGAAAATTAACGTTTTAATTACCAAGTCATTAATTCTGGTAATGTTGAATACTAATATATACGTAATAAATAGTATAAATAAAAAATAGTATCGATACAAAGCCAAGCGTTGTGTCTCTCATTTACACAGTATAAGCACATGAGATTTTAAATAACACTTGTCACGATATGTCTTATATTGTTGTAACAAATGCAACAGACACATGCATGTCGGTTAAAATATTTGGTAATTCATGAATACATATTTAAAATATAGGTTTGTCAACTAAAATTATGTTTTAGCTTTGTATACTGTGTCGGGTACACATTTTTACACATTTAGAACTCTGTTCTAAAATTATCACAACATAATTGTATAATAGCTTACGTTTTAAAATGTGATTGTCTGTGTTTTAGTTATTCAGTTATTGCGGACGTTTTTTAAAAATTGAATCCTAGTAGTTATCTGAGTTCTTGCCCTTTAAATTTGAAATTACCTCAATATAGAGGTAGTGTGATTCCTAAAAATTATATCCCCGATGTTTTGTCCTCATTTAATGAGACAGGTAATGTTAAAAGTTAGACTCTGGGATTTATTTCATTGTAAATTATCCTGACAAACTAAAAAACACAAATTAAGAGAATAGTTCGCATAATCATTCAGCAAGTACAATTTGTACAAATACTCATAATAAAGTAATTATAACAGACCATTTACTATTTTTTTCGCCTAAACGATGTAAAACCAAAACGCTCTTCATATAGAATGCGCAAAATAAAAGATACGTTAGACCAGCGAGTTACAACGAATCTATATCTATATCTTGAATAGTTGTCACATAAAGTTTTTCGATAATATATGCCATTGGGGGATGTTAAATAATTAATTTGTTGAAATTAATTAACTTTATTATCATTTTAATTAACATTTAAATGTGGCACTTCTCTCAACCAAGTGAGACAACTGAACTGCACTTGTATTGGCAATATTAGAAAAAAAATACCCTGCTGACTGCTCATGCACCTTAAATGTGTCAAGGCGAATAATAGAAAAAATAATGAAGGTGTTGCCTGGTCAGCTTTGTAGTTGGATTGTATGCTGTGTCGTCGCCTTAATAAATTTGGGGTTATTGTGAATCACTTCCAAGCGAAATTAGAATTAGACAATTTGAAGGTGATTGAGCAATGAATAAATCTGTGTATATGGATTGGCATTGTGACACTGGCAATAACCTTTTGTGATTCAATTTTTAGATGACAATGAGTGAAGTATACGTACACAGAGTGAATAGTCATATTATACAAAATAGATAGCATGACCTTGCCACATATCCACATTTAAATGTAAAAGAATGTCTCCACAGAATGGAACAAAATGTTTCTGATTACTAACTTATGTATTCAAAGTGCATTTTACAACTTATACTATATTCTATGTTCTACTATCGGTGGCAATCTTTAATGGTAGTCTGGTAACTAAGAAGGGAAAATATGACAAAAACATACAAAAAACAGAAATATTTGAAATATAGTTGCAAGAAGCAATCGTCAGCTTGCAAGTAATCAAATATACACATAACCATGCAAATATTATTCATATAATAACCTGCTAGTAGTAATAACATAAGTGGGAAAATATGTTGATAAATTGATATGCCATGTCATGGAAGTCCTGGTAAACGTGCATGGCAAATGGCATTCAGGGTTATTCAAATAGGAAGGCATGCAGGAAAAACAATCGGGAGAACTCCAAGTTGTTATTGGTGTCACAATCTGATGCACTTACAATTCTAAAATTAAATAATTTATGCTATTGTAAGAATTGATTTGTGACACATATGCAAATTCGGATTGTCATTTATGGCCGAAAGAGAGGGTATATTTACATATTATTTACTACTAAATGAATATTGGTTACTTTATTATTTGTGTACATATTTATTTGCACACATATTGTTAATACACATTCATAACTAAGACACATTGTGGGTATTGTTCCTTACTTTTAAAAGTTACATTCTGGGGAAGGTCTATGCTGCCCATGCTCACATTGACGAAAAACGTAAGAAAAGATTTGTGAAGATAATTTGTTCATATATAGAATAAAGCATATAGGTAAGTAGAACTATTCTGGGATATAAATTTCCATTTGAGATAAAATGTTGAGGCTGCAGACTTCATATGCCAGAAACGTCCGAAGAGTACAATGGTTTTATCTGATTTAAAACTCACTGCCCTACTTTTTATAGTTAAGTATTTAGGGGTAATTGTCAATAATTCTGTCCCAAATGTGCAATATGCTATAAAAGTACATATATTACACAATGCATGAACACAATACACAAATGCTTGAACGTTGACCTCTCTCAGTCATTGTTCTTATCGTGTTTGCATACTTAAATTGTGGCAAGTGGGTGTTATATATCCCTGTGATAACCCGAAATAAATTATCATAGCAAAAAAATATCTGGATTTCTCTTTGTTGAAATTATTGTTACATTTTATTTTGATATTTACAGTATTCCCACCCTATTCACATTTACATTATAACAGTTCCCCCAACATGCCACAGTCCTCGACAATCCATTATCCAGACACTAAGACTATTTTACCTAAAGTTGATTATCACAATGCTTACCTAAAAACTCATCACACGGGAGAAATACAAAAGATATGTCAGCATACACGTAAATAAAAGTTATATCAAGACCAAATAACACATCTTGACAAGAATAAGGTGAACATCTTACACAAAATGTCTCATACAAGAACAATACATACGTCAGTAGAAAATTGTTATAGCAAGTCTGCACGTCAAGGTGAACTTTCCTTCACTGATTACAAACCTGTGATCTTATGAGTGCTAGTATGAGCTGAAGATCCTTTGACGGGACTTCTCCCAGATGCATGGTAGAATTAAAGTGGTATATATAACATAATATCACATAGTGTTAGTGGCTGGCTAGTGACACTAAAAGCTGATATAATATTGGAATACCACATTTTCGCTGTGGTGGCACACCTACTCTAAACATTTCATTAAATAGCGACTAAAAATAGATTCATGTGTGTCACTGGCACAGGTCGGAAACAATTTTGCAATGTTTGGATAGCTATCGTTCCCACAAATACAATTCATGTACAAGACGTTAGTAGTATATATATTCATTAACCTTGTCACCATCGGAAATATATTATGCAGTAACCAGTGTCAAGCAAGGATAAGTATAATAATTATATTGATGATGCACGGGTCATAAAATAAACAAAGTATATAGCACTGTTGATTATTTGATAGAGTTCAAATAACCTAAAGATGTGTCCCAAATATCTTGACTTCGAGAGTGATAGTGGCTAAGCACGGGATGGGGATTCGACGACAGTCAAACGTAGCATGATTTTAAAGGCTCAAGTCCATCAGATATCGTCAGTTCCGGTAGATACTATAGATGCAACGTTCATCAGATGTCGCTAGTTCCAATAAGTTCAAATTTGGCAGTGCGTAGGTCCAATAGGTTGCAAATGGTCAATGTTACTTCATACATACGAGCCCCTGGAGCACAGCTTACTGAGTCTGTAAGGCTTTCCTCCTGCAAAACGCTGGCTCCCAACATCAATGGGTGCACAACCCTGCACAGTTTCCGCCAGAATTAATAAAATTATTTTCTCTACAATGACCTGGCCCTAGCTTGTACGTAGATGTGCGTGTCTCAGGCGCCCCGTATTAACGTGTTGGCTCGTCTGTCCCAGTTTGCACACCGACATAAATAAATTAAATAAAACATACACGTGTTCCTGAATTCACTACATGACCTGTACACTCATCTAATTGCAAGACGAATTCTCGCGTGAAAATGTAATATTACATGATGTTCTCTTTTTTTCTTGTTTCATTAGAAGATCAGTATTCTTTAAACAATCACAATAGATTTCAAAAGACCTATGTGGACGTGTTTTTACCTGTTTACTTTCGTTTTCAGAGATTAAATCTGAAAACAACAGTATATAAAATCATAGTTTCTATTATAAACAGCGTATAACAAATGCACTACACTGACTTGAACATGGTATATGGAAATTATTTTTTGAAAGAAGCTAAACAAATTTACATAATAATTTACATGCCAAAACAATCTAATCAGTCATTAAATGAATTTGCTCCTGTGTGTCACATTGCAACCTATGTAACTTATAACTATTCATTATATACTATTGTCGTTTTATTGTTTCAACTACATAAAAAAATTATAATTACGTGTTTGTAATAACATCCAACCACGTCATGATATAATAGCATTATTACAAGGTTTTTTATATCAATTTAGCCAGAGGTTTCTGAGATATCAGTGGAACAAGAGTCTATCACAACCGATCAATTTGACCAATGTGAATATTTTGTACGTTTTTGTAGATCGCCATATACACCCTCACAAACGGGAGCAACAGATGATGCAAGCGAATATAAATGAATGATAAAGTGAATTAATATGCATTATGTGTGGATTTTACTACTCATATAGGACTCAAATATGTGATGAACATTGAGTTATTTCATTGTTTTTGCAGCTCGTGGTGGTGAACGGGTTAACACCGGGGGGGGGGGGTAAAGACACAAAGGCGCCATTGTAATGTAGATCATTTAAGATTGACGATTATGTGTGGTTAACATGGAGTGGTACTAATTTAATTAGTATACCATGCAACAAAAATCAGTTATAATTAGTTGATGATTGTTTGACTATCCTGTTGGGTTAATAGTTGGGTCATAACTCATTTGTTTGGATCGTAATCTTTTTGTGTGATTGTATGCGCCTCTAACCAATTTTACACCAAATTTGAAACCTAATTTCTCGGCCATCGCAATATCTCTACAGATGTTGGAGTTTGTAGCCTGTTAACATGACAGCGAAATATACATGTGTTACATCACATCACATGTTGAGTAGTTTCCGGATGCTTGAATTTTGAGTTGCCCGGTTTTGTCAGAACGCCCATAAAAGGCGTAACAAAGTAACCGGATGGCATGGGTGT